GATGGAGCCCGCAACCCGGGCCTGTGCCCTTGGCCGGGATTCGAACCCGGGACCTCCTGGTTCAGAGGTCGACGCTAACCACTGAGCAACACCAGCCGGGCAGCGTTTGAATTTTGTGTGTGTGTGGGGGGGTTTGCTTTGTATTTTACTTTCTGATTCTCTGATCAGTTAGCAAGACCGTTGGCTGCAAATGTAAGAGAAGGAAGCGCCCGGGCAAGAACTAAGGGAAAACATATCAGCCCGTCCCCGTCCCCAGAAAGCAAACGCCGCCAAAGCGACGTCCCTAAATTTCATCCATCGCTTCCTGCAGCCAAACCCGAACCTCAACAGGCACAATGGAAGGCCCCAAGTCATTTAAACAACGCCTTCTAGAACATTCTCCCACCGCCTTCTAGAACGTTCTCCAACTGCCTTCTAGAACATTCTCCAACCACCTTCTAGAACATTCTTCAACCACCTTCTAGAACGTTCTCCAACCGCCTTGTAGAACGTTCTACAACCGCCTTCTAGAACATTCTACAACCGCCTTCTAGAACATTCTCCAACTGCCTTCTAGAACATTCTCCAACCACCTTCTAGAACATTCTACTACCACCTTCTAGGACATTCTTCAACTGCCTTCTAGGTCATTCAACTGCTTTTTAGAACATTCTCCAACCGCCTTCTAGAACATTTTCCAACCGCCTTCTAGAACATTCAACTGCCTTCTAGAACATTCTACAATCACCTTCTAGGACATTTGTCAACTGCCTCCTAGAACATCCGTCAACCACCTTCTAGAACATTCCCCAACCGCTTTATAGAACTTTCCCCAACCACCTTCTAGAACATTCGCCAACCGCCTTCTAGAACGCTACAACCACCTTCTAGAACGTTTATCAACCGCCTTCTAGGACATTCTCCAACCGCCTTCTAGAATGTTCCCCAATCACCTTCTAGAACATTCATCAACCGCCTTCTAGAATATTCTACAACCGCCTTCTAGAACATTCTCCAACCTATATATAATTTACCAAAATCAATTGTATTGCTTAATTTTTTTCAAATTGAAGGCCTCTCATCGTGTGGCACTCATGTCCCTCACGCAGGCACGCCATCTCTCCCCACCGATACCGGCAGCGAATGTTCTAGCAGCCGATGGCGGCGCCCTTCCTCTCGGACGGACCTGCTGGGCGTGCGGAACGGGAAATATCTCGCTTTCGGAGAACGAGAAAAACAGGTCTGTTCGCGCGACGTTAATTCATTGACGTTGCTATTCAGCGTCTGGTTTGTTCATGTTCAAGAAAAACATTAATTTTTACTAAAACGCGCTATTATTTTATGTTGACGACGACTCTTAATCTCAGCCCTTTGCCTTGAGCAGGTCTCCAAAAAATTCATGCTTGGGGTTGGTGTGGGGGGTGTCTCTCAGCCCGGCCTGCACTGTCTGAATTCTGGGACCCCTCAGGGGAGTCGGACATCCCTTCCAATCTGGGACCGCAGGCTCGTAACTGCTTGCCAATGTGCCAGCCTGATCGCCCCTAACTGCCCACCCCAACCAGCTAGGAAATCCCCAACTGCCTCTCCTCTGGCCTGTTCACCCCTTAGTCAACAGCCTTCTAGAACATTCTCCATCCACCTTCTAGAACATTCGTCAACCGCCTTCTAGGACATTCTAGAACCGCCTTCTAGAACATTCGTCAACCACCTTCTATAACATTCTCCAACCGCCTTATAGAACGTTCTACAACCACCTTCTAGAGCATTCGTCAACCGCTTTCTAGAACATTCTACAACCGCCTTCTATAACATTCGTCAACCACCTTCTAGAACATTCTCCAACCGCTTTTTAGAACATTCTACAACCGCCTTCTAGAACATTTGTCAACCGCCTTCTAGAACATTCTCCAACCGCCTTCTAGAACATTC